GTCTATCTGTGGGTCCACAGTTAAACTGATGGAAATAATGTGTAATGCTAACGTGAATGGGAGTAAAAGACTCATGATCTGAGGAAAGTTTGTGTCCGTGCGTCTTTCATTCAGCTGCTCCCCTTTTCAGGGCTTTTACACTACAGGTCAGGCCACTACATGATTCACCACATTGTGTTTAGGTTCAGACACCAAAGCTCCTTGGTTAAGTTTAAGAAAGCTAGTACCTCAGCTGCCTGCTACCTGTCTGCTTCCCTGCCTGCCCGTCTGTCTACATTCTGAACAACCAGCATGCACCTTGGCCGCTCGCCACCTTCACATCCAGCGGAGGCCACAAGAAGAGACCTGGTCGCCATGGCTCCTGACGCCACTGAACCATTCAGCCTCTCTTCACCGGAGAGCCTCCGCTGCCCTGCTGCTCATCCTCGCCGCTGCTCTCCATTCAGTTGAAAAGCACCCCTGAGACCATGTTGTCCAGTACCTCAAAGGTTCCCCCAGTTTTCCTGTTTCCCGTTTTTCCTGCGCCTGGTCGGCAGCTCAGCCAGCATTGCAGCACTCCCCAACCCAAGAGCTGCAGATTCTCCCTGCTCCTGAGCCAAAGCAGCTTTCTGACTCTGTTCAGCTACAGCAGCTTTCTGTCACTACGGCACTCCAACAAAACCCGACTCTGCTGAGTTGCAGTGACCTTCTGCCCCGTCACTGGACTGCAGCAGCTATCGCCAGCCTCCAATCCAGTTGACCTGTTGCTGCTCTCTTTTCTTGCACTTCAGCCATCAGACTCGGGTCTTGGTCTCCAGTCTTTTTGCAGACCTCCTGCCAGGCCTCCAGAGGGTCTCTACCCTCGCCATCGCCCGTCTGGTCGCCCTCCAATCTGCTCAGTTCAGTTCTGTCTTCAGCCTGCTTGCTGTCTCTCTGCCTCCCTCGTTAGCCTCATGTCTGTCACCTGTGTTGCTCCCGCCCTGCTCGTTATCCCTGGTATATATGTGTGGTCTTTCTGTTCAGTCTTTGTCAGGTCATTGTTCATGTTACCCCTCAGTCTGTCGTGTGTATACTCTCTGCCTTCCTGTAACCAGCCTTGCTTGTTTTGTCACCCTGTACCTTTGGATTTCTGTTTGGATAACCTGTTTTTGGACTCTATTGATCAGCCACTCTGCTTGTAAGTGTGCTCGCCTTTAGTTTGTATTAAACTCCATTCAGCTGTTCCTCCTCTGCCTTGCGTCCTGCGTTTGGGTCCTCCAACCTGCCTCCACCCCACCCATCAGAACAGTTTGTTAATTATGTAATCATGTTTTTTGGACTTACTACAGGCCTGTAGTAAGAACTGTAACAAGATCCAGTGAGAGTATAAGCCACTGAGATGCGTCAGCAGCTAGTGATCCAATCACAGCGTCACCCTTGCTGTGATTTAATGCCCCCCCCCCGAATATAATCAAACACAGTGTTTGAAATAGTTGTAAGCCACGACTCAGCATAACAATAACAGCAGAGCTCCCCTTACGAGGATCATAGTAGACTGTCATTGTTCAGTCAGTGATTGGCTCAGCTGCTGCACTGACTGCTGACAGAACAAACAGGAAGCTACTGCAGAATTTCTCCAAGAGCCATAATGATTGATATTTAAATACCACATGTTATTGTTAAATAATTAATTGTAATTTAAAACACTTTCCAACAGAGGGCGGCGCCCTACAGCAGCTCTGTTGGTTGTGTTAGGAGTGAAGCCAAGATGGTGCCAGAAGCAGTGATTATTTTGAGTGGAAAATGGAACAAGTGAACACTGTTTCTGTTATTTACAGAAACCCAACAATTCCCACCAAGAGCAGCAAGAGGCAAAGAAAAACTTCCCTTTAAGAGGCAGAAACCTCGAGCAGAACCACGGCTCAGGGCGAGCGGCCATCTGCCTCGACACAATATCCAGACAGAAGTACAGACAGTAAAGGTGATGTTGCTACAGACTGAATGAATAATAAATAAACTTCTAGTTTTATTTTCAAAAAGTCTAACAGGATGTTGCGTATTTATTCTTGATTTGAGCGCAGAGCCCTACGTATTCAAAAACACAGCTAAAGGGTTCCCAGGGCGTTAAAAAGTGACGCCATGGTGTCTTGACCAAGCGTCCACATGTGACGAGTTGGGAGTGAGAATGTGTTAAAATATCAGACTTCAGTTCAGTTATTTGTTGAATTTTAGGACAGCGTACTGCTTCTAAAGCAGATGAAACCAAGAGTCATTAAAATGTCGTTAATTCCATTTCAAATTTCTGCTGTAACTTGAATACAAACGCAAATATCTCTGTTAACAAAAGGTATTTTATAGCCTGTAATTGTAAAATGGGTTTGGGCAGTTTCAGCAGGCCAGGTTTTGCCACTGTAAAGTATCATTAGTGCACAAAGTGTCACGAGAACACAACATTAAGTTTATTGTTACGAAATCCCACAGATGATTTTACCAATAAACAATCAAATGGGTTTCATTTAGAGACTTCTTAGACATTTATTGATTTTTGCTAGTGTGGGACTATGTAACTTAAACCTGGTTAGCCCACACACACTATTTTTCTATAAAACAGTAAGAAAACATAAAAAAGGTCAACTTTTGGGGGTCAGGGTCAAAGGTCAGTTGTAAAGTTGTTTCACTACAAAACTAATAAGGGGTTACGACATGAACAACTGTTGAAACAAAGTAAGATTCAACATTACAGCATGTTTTAAACATTCCTTATGAGACAGGAAGAAGCAATGTTGCTCTGACTAAAGCACAACTCCTTGTTCTTTGGTTTCAAATTCCACAGCTCTTCATCAAAGAAGCTCTAGAAAAGGTGTTCAGGTGCTCCAAGCAGACCTGGCACTTCCACATACAGTGATGAGGATATTGACCGCCTTTTGCTGTCACTGCCATTCACACCCCACAACAGCATCCTATCTACCTCAGGCACTAATGTCCCCCGATTTTGAGGAGCACTCCCAGCTCCCATAGTGTACCCAACTTCAGACAGGAAATGCTCGTTTCCCCCCTCCATATTGAAAGTATTAGTTTGGCCCAGACTGACAGACACACAGTCAGCGTTGGGCTGCAGCTGACCGGTCGGCCTGTGCGGTCGAGGATCATTAAGTAAAACAAACTTCAGCATTTATGGACATTAAACCAGTAATGTAGGTAAAGCTACATGAAACTGCAGGCTAACTGGTTGTCTCTTCTCTAACTTCTATAAAAGTTTGCAAAATCAAACGTTAGAGGAAAAAATAATATCATTTTCAGGGGTGCTAAAATCGGCCCTGCTCTGCAACACTGTCTTCAGATACAAATGAATAAAAGAGCAGCAGTCTGGTCTCATGTTTCTACCCACCAACAGTAAGAAGAGGAAGAACTGAACACACGTCCTGATCATGAGACACGAGTTAAAATGAGCTCACAGCTGCTTTATACCAAACTCCTCCCTCTAAAAGTCCAACCATGTTGTTCTCTGATCACAAGCAGAGGCTCAGACAGACATTTAGAGCCATCAGGTTCACTTTCTGCTCTCAGCTGCAGAGTTACAGTTAAAGAAAGTTAATGATCCTGTTTTTATCAGGTTTTATTGTTTCATCTGCACTAAATGGACCAAAACAATAACACAACTTTCCAAATGGAACAAATGCAAATATTTATTGTTGTCCCAGAGTTAAAAACATCAAACCTTTTAGCACATTAGTCTTTCAGTTTGTTATTAAGGGCACATTTTTAATAATAATAACCATCAGCTTGTTGTTGATTCAGATATGTGTTTTGTTAGATCCTGAGTTACCCTGTCCAGGAGGTCCTGGACCAGCTCTCTGTCTTAAAGGGTCTGATCCTACAGGCACATGGGTTTTATCCTATTAGCTATAACTGGAGACTGTTTAAGCCAAGAGGGTCCAACTGCAGACCTCCACTCTCAGGACGGGAAATATACAACAAATACAAAATAAAATCCTGCGATTTGACAGGAAAGACATTCAAAAATGATACATTTTAATCATGCAGACACTTACAGGCGAAGGGATTTTGTTGTTTATTTACATTTAATTATTTAGTCAACATTGTAACATGAAACTTGCAGGATATTTCCTTAAATATAGCATATTGATTTGAGCCTATTCTACAAAGCCGACTGTAAATCGCTTCAATCATTCAACTAGTAATGTTTTATTTATTTTTTTTATTCTGACGTTGATCCGTCCAGACAGCAGCCACATCCATTCACAGAAAAACACATCATCGTTGATTTAGAGTTTAACTTTGCCTCTTTTCACTCTTCTTAAACACACACACACACACACACACACACACACACACACACACACACTTCTCATTCATAACTTCTCTTTGAAGAGTTGTAATATATACTTTGGCATTTTACTGCTATCAGCTGAATTTAACAGGAAAAACTGACACCTGTGGGAACTGGACTACAACTTGAGCCTCGTGGGGGTCTGTAGTATAACGAACGTTACCGGCTGAGATTAGTAAATAAATAAATAACAGAAGTCTGGACAGACAGAGACTTCATTGCTCATTACGTGGTCACACAGCAGCACACTACTTGCCCCAGATGTGTGAAATACTGCAACAAAGTTTAAGTTTCAAAAGCCTGAAATAAACCAACAAAGACTACTGCTCAAGGAGAGACACAAACCCGCCCTTCATGGTCTCATTAATTATTATTAATCATGTTGTAATGACGTTCATGTGGTGCGCAGCATAGTTCATTTTAGCCTGTTTCTTATTAATGTCAATAATAATTCAGTGAAAATACATATATGATTAGAAATAATGGTTGTTGGTAAATGAATTAGTGACCCCCCACAGATGCAGGATTTTACTGCTTCCATGAGAGCTCAGACCTCCTGATGGACCGACACCAGAACCTGCTGGACTATCAAACTGTAACATCTGTAAAAATGAACACAACATGTTTACCTGTATCGATCATTTTGTAAATATCCACTTTTAAAATGAATGGAGACACAAAAGTTAGCAGCTTACTGTAAAAATACTTTCACTTTATTCACTGTAATCACAGATTACACAGTTAGAACAGAAGCCGGCAGCAGTGACTGATTTATACAAAACATTAAAAAAAGTCCATCAAATGTTCCATCAAAATATCCACCACTATCAATATTTGCACGTCTAAATCACGCTAAATTAGGAAATGGCAACAGTGGCTGTGGTGAGTAGTAGTTTCTTTCTGTGGATAACTCTTCATATAACCCTATAACTGCAGAGGGGGGTGCTATGGGTGCTTGAGCACCTGCCCTTTTGCCCTTTGATGCCCAAAGTGCCCTTTTGTCAATGACAAATTTAATTAATTATTTTTTTTATTTGTAAAGGTCCTTTTGTGAAGGCCTGCTGAATCAAACTATTGGTAAAATGAATGAATAATAATTTCACCGTAAACAATGACCTTTCATCTGATGACCTCATCCGGGACGAGACACCGTTAGTGGTTCAGCAGCTCTGACTACATCTGTGATCCCGCCGGTGAGAGAGGTTTACCTCAGTGTGCTTGTTGTGGGTTGTTTGATTTATTTTACAAGAAAGACGCAAAGAGAGCAGCACAGTAGTTGTATATTGCTGCGTGTAGAAGTAACGTCAGCTGCCGACTAACACTGCGCCGACAGCTGACGTTGCTTCTACACACAGATAAACAAAAGGTGCTCTGTTCACTTCCTTCTTGCGGTTTGAGGGAGAAAAGTTTCACGGACGTGGCGAGGTCTGGTATTTTTTATGTAATTTGACTAAAAACCTTTCACTTCAACTAGGATTATTACAGTAACTTAATTAAAAACGTAGTGTGCCTCACAATAATTATAACAACATTGTTAAAACAGGTTTATTACTCCGAATTATAGCCTACTTATCAGCCCTTTTTCAAATGATCATTCAAATCAGAACAGTATTTGAATAGATAGCAAATCTATGAACTAAATAACTGGAAATACATGTAATAATGTCTGTGTCAATATAAAATAAATAACATTCCTGACATCAAAGTAAAGAGTGAAGAAGAAATGGCCCTATTAGATTTCAGACAAAGGTATGAAATGTTAATGTGAAAGGTGAATGCTGCTCTGTCATGGTTATAATGAGCCAACAGAAAGAACACACACAGTTTATTTAGATTTATGATTAGACATATAGTCAATCAAAATCCAAATATTTCTCAGATTCACAATGTAATATATAAAATCATTATCACAATATTGCCTACACACACACACACACACACACACACCTGTCTATAGATGTGTCTCACTCTTACTCCTGCCTTGGCTAACCTAGTCCTTTCTCCCAGTACTGTTTCCTTCCCAGATTATTTCCCACACTCTTTTGAATCTGGTATCTTATTTCCTCTCCCTGCAGCTCTCGGTGTGCAGCAGTCTCTGTGAGCTCTTATTTTCTCGTAGCAGTCAGCCTTGGCAGCGGCTGCAGCTGCAGCAGCTCAGTCATAGTGAGCCGGTCCCAAATACTGTCAGCAATCTTTACATCTCGTCATGGTCACATATTTGTTTCATCTGCTTATATATCTCCTATGTTTGTTATAATATCTCTAGTCACAGATCACCTCCAGTAGTAGCAGCAGCAACCAAAGCAGCAGCAACATCCCCAGCAGCCCCTCAACAGCTACTGTTCCCTGTAAGTTATGTCAGCCCACCGTGTTTTAAAGCTAGATCTGGGTTGTTCCCTGTGTTTCTTTTTCAAAACTGTGTCAAAGCATTTGTTGATGTATCGATACGGAAGCATCTGTATACACATATAATCAAGGAATACATAACAATATATTTCTGTATCGATATTTTGAGAACAGCCCTATTTAAATCCTTGTTCCATGTGGCCGTTTTATACTTTGAGCACCTGCCCTTCCAAAGGTCTCTGCACGGCCCTGCCTCTGTGTGTGTGCGCGAGATCATTGATCTCAGCTCACAGTAGCTGATGCAGGTAGAATTTGCCCGAGTTGACGACGCCGTTTTTATTCCCCGCCCCTGCTGCTCACGTTACACTATCAAATCACCGAAAGTCAGCCGCCGTCATCTCGAACTCACCTATTATATCAAGCTAAAACAACAACTCAGCTGGTTAATCTGTTCATGAAGCTCCCTGTGATACATCAGTGCTGAGGCTGCAAGCAACCAGCTACATTTACTCTCCTTACTGTAACAAAGTACTTTTATAGTCTGATTGTTTTTAAAATATCTGATATTTTACTTGTACCTCAGTATTTGTATCTGCTGCAGCTGCTGTGGAGTTTATATTGTCTCTAGATCTCTGTGCTGCCTTATTGATGCTTTATTCTGCTGTTTAAGTTGCAGCTTATTAAATGTAGCTTAATGAAGCGTGTTGCACCTGCTGCAGTGTCCACAGCTCTTTTTATTTACTGTCAGACATTTTTGTTTGATCGTCAGAGTTTTGTCTCTTTTCTGGTTAATTCCAGCGAGGCTACAGAGGAAGCTGGTTGGATATTTATAACTGATCATTAGTGGGATGAACAGGCTGCAGAGTGCGTCTATAGAAAATAAATGTTCCACTGTGAACACTGACATGTTAATGCACTTTATTTTGGAAAGCTGGTCTTTGATTTAAGAGTCAAATCACATGACATTATCATATAACATCTTCATCATTTACTGAGAGCAGATTTTAACTGATCTACGTTTTGTTTGTATCTGAGTGCAGTTTAAGCAAGTTTTCTTTTACTTAAGAAGAATATTGTAGTACTTTTTCCCATCCCTGGCCAACGGTGTATATTTGAATTGCATTTAGTCTGATCCGTCTCTGGGACCAATTTGTCTTTAGACCAAAGCTGATATGCAGATAAGACGACTCCCAGAATCAACGGGCACGCAAACCCCTCCACCACGATAAGGTAGCAATTCATGAAGGGGAAAATTATGAGTTTAAACTGATGATGCAGATTATCACGGTGGAGAGCCTCAAACTTCCACGTTCACAACAGAAAGAATGAAAATCATGTTAAATGTATTAAACATGTGGTGGAAAGAGATCAGAATAACTGGTCGTTCACTGCTTCTTAAGCAGCAGAGTGTTCTGGTTTCTTGTTCTTATGTCTTTTATATTTCCAGCCAACAGTCAATCCAACAGCAGCTAAACAAACCAGAACAAAAGCTGCTACCAGTCCGTAGTAAAGACCGTAGTTTCCCACCTCGACGTCTCCGCTGTTGGACCCTGAAGATCAAAGTGCTATTAGTCAGGAAATGAGTGAACAGTGGAACAGCCTCCATTTACTCTTCTATATCTTCTATATTCCTCATGTTTGACTCTCAGAATCAACATGGAATAAACTGCAGCTACAACATGGCACACAGACACACTGACCTCCACAAACTCACCTGAAACCTCCAGCTGGATGATTCTGATTGGCTCAGTCTTAATGATGGCTCTCTTACGTCTTGAACCTCCTGCTGCAACTCGACACTCGTATGTTCCAGCGTCGTTGCTGCTCACGTTCTTCAGAATTAAAGACACGTCTCCGTCCTTCAGCTCTCTGTCCACCAGCTGCACCCGGTCCTTAAAGGATGGATGCTGCTGGGTTGGAACTGAGCGTCCATCTCTGTAAAAGAGGACGGTCTCTGGCTCCAGGTCAGGTCTGCTCCACTCTACAGCTCTGATGGAGGCGTTACCAGCCCGACATGGCAGAATGACATCATCTCCAGGTTTCACTCGTACCACATCTAAAAACAATAAAAACATCAGAGAGAAAAAGTAATTACATTTCAAAAGGACTCCACAGGACGATACAGTGAGAACATCTTTGTTTAAACAGAAGGCCTCTTCACACCTGAGATCATGGGAACATTCAATAATTAGTCACAACTGTGGAGACGTTACAGGATTTTATTCCCACAGTGTTTATAAGACTTGTTGTGAGACATGAAGCTGCTTCAACATTGTGACGTGAATAAATAACATTCACACAGCCAATCAGAGCTTTAAAACTACCGAGCATCCAGAAAAGGAGATTCACTGATAAAAATCCTAATCCTTGCTGCAGTCAGCACTTCTTTACTTCCTGTTATATAAAAAGATTTTACTACTCGAAGCTTCTAGAGCTTCTGTTCCTCGATCTGGCCAATGCCTATGGTTCAGTTCCTCATTCAGTTCTGTGGGCTGCCTTTGATTTCTTCCACAAAAATACCGACCACAATCACAATTCTAGTGAAACACTACTTCCAGGATCTACAGTTTTGCATCACAACATCAGGCTTTACCACAAGTTGGCAAACGCTAGAAGTAGGCTTCACGGCTGGGTGCACCATCTCCCCATTGGCCTTCACGATGGCAATGGAGATCATTATAAGAGCCTCGAAATGGGTCGCGGGAGGAGAACGACTACAATGTAATCAGAGGTTATTTCGAGCCTACATGGTCGATCTAACAACACTCACAACAACTGTCCCCTGCACCAAAAGACTGCTGGAGAAACAGTAAGTGCAGAAGCATTTCCATCCTGAAACTGCAGCCTCCGGTGCTGCAGCTACATGCTACCCGAGCAGGGAGGGAGGGTCATTTACACTGGGGACGCTGGGGACACGTAGCCACCACCTTTTGAAAGCATTTGTTAAAAATGTTCAGAAAAATAGCAGCAGGAAATGTTAGTTAACAAATAAAAATGCTATGAAAAAGGTTTATTTGCACAATAAGCCTGCAATGCAATGGAAATATAGAATAATTTTCTATATTTAAAAAAACAAAAATTATAAGCTACTGATTACTGCATTACATTCAATTTCCCTTTATATAACCAGACATATCCACCATAATCTGATGCAGGAAATTAAGTGTGTAATGCTCAAAATCCCCCAGAACCCCTATCGAATATTGCTTCAATAAATCTTTTTTCTAAATAGTAGGCCTATTAAAATATATTCTCCTCTTGTTGTCATGGCCCCAATCTTGTGCAGTGTCACGTCTTATGGTCACACCCCTAATCTGAGCCCTTAAATGGAAGGATGGTGTATTTGGTTAGGGCTGTCGCGATAACCGCAAAATTGAAATACTATTGGTCAAGCCTTCAGCGGAGGACGGGCAACTTTTTGAGCAATGTTGCTGGGCAATCTTGCTGGTGGCAAGTCCGACTATGTTTTGAAGCTTGTGTGGGTGTGCGAGCGTGCGGTATGTATTGACTTGATAGACATGCCCTGAAGGTAATGATATAGCTATGTCTGAAAAGGACACGGTCAAACTACAAAAAGGAGTTTGCTTGTTAATGCTGTTGACTAGCACGCAGCAGCTAACGCGCTTGCTCAGACCATAAAGCTGCTGTTAGCGGCTCGCTGTACAGTGAGGAGACAGTTACAGACACTCTTACTCTGCTATATGGCACCAAATTAATTCATTGATGAAAATGCGATAATGCTGCGCTGTTGAGGGCCAACATATTGCCGTGGTGGAAATTACTTCACCGTGACAGCCCTGGTATTGGTGAGGGGTGTCTGACCGATTTTAGTGACCCAGCCTTCACTCCTTCAAGTGCCTGTGCCTGCACTACGTCGGGTACTGCAGCTGATGTTGAAGCTAGTGTTGTGTCGTTCAAAGAACGTTTCGTTCATTTGACCTAATCTTATGACTCAGGAGGAACGAGAAGTGTGACGGAGTAATTTGTTCATTTTCCACTTGCGTGAATGGTCTTGGGGCCTTTCTCAATCCGTGTTCATGTCTGTTCTTGTGTTCTTGTGAAATATCATCTTTTGTGGCCCAAGTACTGTCCTAGTACACAAGTTTGCATTTTGGAAAGAACGGTTAAAATTCACGAAGTGTTCTTGACGCCCATTTTACCGAGGATGCATCGGTTGGTAACATGTGTGAACTTGACGGCACAGATATCCCAGCATTCATTTTGGTATTCAAGCGAGGGGCTGAAAGAAGTTGAGAGAGAGAGTCCAGAATAAAACGTTTTTCACTATTTTCATACGTTATTTCATCACTAAAGCCACTTCTGAGAAGGTTTGAGGCGAGAAATCAACTGTGTAGATGTTGAATATTGGCGAATAAGTACGAATAACTCTGGTCTTGAGAAACTTTGGAAAAAATGATCAGAAATGGTATGAGAGGGGACTTTGCTTTATTATTATTATAGACATTACATTGCTAGTGTACAGTAGAGTTGTGGTTACAGTATTTGCTTTTATTTTATTTATTTATTTTTTTGCAAATATATCTTGGTAAGTTAAAACCTACAATAAACCCAAGATTCTGAGCTTTTTGTTTTGGGGATGAAGCCTGGCTGTTATAATAATTAGAGCAATGAAGGCGGCCTCTGTGCTGGGGGTTTGCGCAATATCAGCATGAACTCATCGTCTCAAACGTCAGCAGCGTTTTGTGGTTGCGCTCGTGACATTGCAAGTTCATTCTTCCAAGAACTAATAACTAATTTTAATGAACGAGATTAGATGACTCGAGTCTGACAAAAGAGTCACTAATCACTAATGAAGCTACTGCAGCCCTGGTAGCAAACAGGGGGTTTGGGCTAGTAAGATTGGCAGCCCAGTGTCAGAATAGAAAATTTACCCAACGGGCCGCAGTCTGTGCTCTATGGCCCGGTCGTTTATTATTATTATTATTATTTTTAAAGGACAGTTATATAAATAAATAAACTACGTTACACCGGCCGACCCACCGGTTTGCCAGATTACCAGTCCACCCCTGGTAGACAGCCAGATCTGATCTGTTGCTGTCTGGCTGTAACTTATCAGAGAAAGCAGCCTGGGTGTGTTTGGTGAAGTCTAAGTGCGCAGACGGCCTAGCAGCTGGATATACTTCAGCTATATAGCAGCTACCAGTCAGCTGAAATCAATAAACTGCCCAGAACCGGAGGTCCGAATAAGTTTCTGAGCTGGAAGCCGCTGAAGAGCAGGCTAATAGCCTAATTAACACTGCGATCCGGGTTTTTATTAATACCGTTTCTGGTGGGTTTTATTTCCCCCACTGCGGAAAAACACCGCCGATGTTCGCCATGTCGCACAGCTCTGCTACAAACACTTTCTACAACAAGATGACATTATTTTAAAACACTTTCCTGCCTACATGAAACAATAAAAGCTCATTTTTTACCAGAAGCTGCTTGGGACAGAAGAACCAACAGAATCACTAACGCATCCATGGAGAGACAGCAAGTTAAAATAGTATCATCCGCAGCTACCAGGGTCATTTCCGGTGGAAGCTTGAGATGTCGCAGTATCTGACGCGGTATCTGCGGCATTTCCGGCGGCAATCTAAAAATGCCACATGTTTTCCTGTTTTTCGCCTTACGTGATATTTCTGGTGAAACCAACATGCCACAGATTCATCCAGGCACCTGATAGAAATATGTTAGCAACAGTAGTTTATTATGCAGTGTGTATAATATTGTGTATTTCTTCACGTAAACAGCAAGAGTCACGTTTAATGTACGCATTGTTTGGTGTACAGTTGGAAGTTTAACCTAGGTAATTATTGTGTGTGCAGAGTTGTTACTGTTAGCACTATATTTAATATTAAATTCATATTTAATGTGGTTTCGCCTTTCTACCAGCAGGTGGCAGTATTTAAATGAATGTCCGGTTTGTGTGTTTGTTAACCGTTTTAAATCCAGGTTACGGATACAGATGTATTTATTGTTCTTCCTTTCATTTATTTTTTTAATTATTAAGGATTAATTTGTAACCTAGGTATCATCTTCATTCACCCTCAGCCCAGCGTTAAACCTGCATCCCCTTCTGCTCTAACCTGGTTCTGCTGTCAGCTTCTTAGCAGCTCTGACAACAAACACATCAGAAATGTCATAATACAGATGCAAACAACAGAGATAAATAGCTTATACGTGACTAGTTAACTGTGTACCCTCTAGCTACATCAGTTGGTAACCCTCAAGACAGTCAGTGTTGTAGGTTACATTTCCTAATGTTTTTGGCATTTTTAACAATAACTTTTATGCAGAGCAGATGACTTTATGAGATTCTTTACTGTAGCCAGCTACCTAATAGGCCTAGCATATTTCTACATCAGTGTGCATGCAGAACAGGTTTTACTATATGACCGTATGTACTGTATATACATACATATTGTATATGTATGTATAGCAACAGTAACCAAGGGGGCGTGGCCTCTGTGAATCAATGGGCGGGATAGTGATGTACAAAATACATTCAGAAGCATATATCTACATGAATATATAAGTACACATAAAGGTGTCACTAAGTGTTGAAAAGTGGTGTGGACATGAAAGCTCAGATTAGGGGCGTGATGATACAAGTGTGTCACGAGACTTGATGATGCTCAAAAACAAGATGAGAAGAATTTTAACTTAATTTTGAAGAAATATAAAATATATGAGTGAGGGGTCTGGGGGTCATCACCCAAAAGATTTTGGCCATGAAAGACTTAATTTCCTGCATTGTGAGACATTTTCTGTTGCAATTCATGGTGGAAATGTTTTTATTTATTTAAAGAGAAATTCAGCTGGTAGGTGACAATTCATAAATATAAAAATATTACAGAATATAAAGCAGTAATCAGCAGGTTGGTTTTTTTAGCTAAAGTTACTTTTCTTTGGACATTTCACATTTGTTTCTTCTATATTTACACATTGCAGGTTTTCTGATCATTTGTTAGTTAATATTATATGGTACAAGCTATCTTTCAAAACAGTTTTAACAAATGCTTTCAAAAAGTGATGGGGACAAAATCAGCCGTATAAAATGTGCTGGGATCACATCTCCAGCATCCCCAGTGTAAATGATACCTATGGGTACATAAGCAAATTGATCGGACGTCAAGGGCGGACTGGGGGTAAAAAAATGGCCCTGGACTTTGATCCAGATAGAACCAGCAGAGCGGTCCACCTTATACTCCACCACGGCCGCCCTGCTAATGAACGCACGTACAAACAGAACCAGCCTCTTATACAACCACCAAGCAGCATCACAGCCATTGATCACTATGGCAGTGCTAATTTAAAAAGGCTGCAGAACACACACACACACACAATCATGGCCGTAACCAGCTATGAGGTCACATTTCAGACACAGAGTTTCATCTGTCTGTCCTGTCAAGTTTTAAACTATTTTTTTGTTTTGCTGCATAAATGTCCCACTATAGTGGGGGGGGGGGGGGGGGCTGCAGAGACGTTCATAAAGAATAGACCGACGGTCGCTCCACCTTCTGCCAACTTTTTCAGTGTTAGTAAAAAAGTACAGGCTAAGGAAGGAAGCCCACCAGCCCTGAGGTTGGCTGGCCCACTGGGATTTGTCGAAAGTATTTCCCCTTTAGCTGCAAGGCCTCAAGCACATCTGGGGAAAAAAAAGGCCAAAATCATGGTCCCCTCCCCCCCTTCCCTCTCACGGTCTGAGATTGAATCCCCTACAAAAAGAATAGTTTTCCTTTTTAAAGGCTGAATGTTTTTTCTTTGTGACACATGTTACTCACACAGGCTCCAAAAGCAAATCAGTGTGTTTTACTTTGTAATGAACAACTTTTCAGAGAGGCATTTTGACCAGCTAACATCAGCCTAATAAGAGACCACCTGAAACTCAACAATGACTAAGTCTTCAGCTGTATCGCACTTTAACATGGAACATATTCAGCATGTCGTCCAGCCCTGTTATAAAAACATGAACATTTTCTAGATCAAGAAGAACACTTTCCTGCCTGCATGAATCAATAAAAGCTTGTCTTTACCTTAAGCTGCTGGAGACAGAAGGACCAACAGAAAGACAATATTTATCCATGACCATCTACCGTAAACGATCCCCACTCTGTTTCTGCCTGCAGCTGGTCTGCATCAAGGTCCAGACGGAGAGAAAAACATCCTCCTTCCGTTTGTCCCTCCCTCCAACAAAACTTTTTTTCCCCAGCCTTTATTTAAAGACCTGAAATTAACTGTAAAAATCTCTTTTTACAGTTAATTTCATCATCAAAGCAATCTTAGTTCTTTTAAATCTTTTATCTTACAAACACAATGCGATTTTCTAGAAAAGAATGACATTGTTTTATAACACTGGTCAAAAGTCTTTCCTGCCTACACAAATCCTTTCAAAAGCTCGTCTTTACCAGAAGCTGCTGGAGAGCAAAAGGATCAACAGGAAGACAAACTTATCCATCGGAGAGGAGGTGAAACCATCATGAACAACCCCTCTCATCCTCTCTATGCTGAGCCTTCAGCCACAGACTCATTCAGCCCCGAGCCTCAAAGCGCTTTTGAGGCTCATTTGTGCCGTCAGCCATCAGGCATCACAACACCACAGCACCAGACTAACAGATTTGTGCCTGACTATATCTGATCTGATAACTAGACTAACTCATTACCTACGTGGGATGATGGTGTTGATCACCGAGCTGAATCCACAAAAAGGATCCTTGTCCCTGAGTCAGGTGCTGTATGATGTCGTGTTGACTGCATCATCATCGCTGACCCGTTTCGGGCAAACTGCAGGGGCCCCGCAAAGGAGCTGTAAGTCTTACTCATTTTAATTAAAGTTATTATTTTGATAAACAAGGTGGTCTTTTCTAAAGAGCTAAAGTACTGGCAACAGAAATGCTGCATTCATGAAGTCATTGGTGTTGAAAGACATTTGGTAGGTGAGCGAAACGCTGAAAAAAATGATCCCCAGAACAGAAAATTGTTTTACACTCAGCATTTCAGAAAGACAGTTGCATTCAAGAACTGATATTATTAATATCCATTACACAAACATTTGAACATTGTGAAACCAGCAATACCAAAACCTTCACACATAAGGGGGAGGTTGTGGTGAAGGAGGAGGAGGAGGTGTGGACTGAAACTCTTGCCTTTCCTGCCATCAAACTCAGCAATGTGTTTTCTGAGCCTCCTGTCACTCTGTCCTGTTCTCGACTCATAAACACATAAAAACTATATATTTTAGGAACATATGCATAGATAACTTTCATGCAGAAAAGATGACTTTATGAGATTCTTGTCTGTAGCCAGCTATGTAATGTGGAAAACATATTTCTACATCAATGTACATACAGAACAGGTTTTACTATATGACCGTATGTATTACTTTAATTGAAATACATGCAAATATACTTTTTGTTGCTTTTTAGTTTATGAGAGTTTATGATTACTGAGAGGCAGCAAGTCCAGCAGTCCCAAATCGAGAAGCCTCCCTTCTGACGCTTGTACAGGAGCTTTTAAAAACTGCCTTCCAAGGCCAGGTGGACCTCGCACACAAGGTCAATGTGGACCAAATATAGCTCACTGACAAGTTAGAAACATTGTAGTTAATCTTAGGAATGAACTGGACTTAACTTAGGTAATGACTAACCATGGCTGTTTGTTTAGATATACTGAATTTACAAAATAAATCCACAAGACATAAAAACACCTCACTACCTGTGCAATAATCCAGGTTTGCACATAAGTAGGCCACTACAATGTTGCTCAGAGAACCCACATGGCAACTTTTCAAGAAATATGAAGCAAACTGTAGCGGGGTTCTCTTCCAAACTCCTCAAAATAGGAGAAAACACAGGCGTAGTCGAAAAATAGTGCCGTGATTTTTATTATGCCGGCCTCCAAAGTGCAAACAGTGGAAAAAAAAACTTGCATAAAGAAAATGAAACAAAAAATTAACTATTTGAAAAAAGAATTTATAACTTACTCAATAATAAAGTTACACAAAAACCCAACATACAACTCACTAGTTACCTCCTCTGTAACCAGGCCAAGACTGCCCTCACAGGCCAAAGCGGCGACTTTTAAAGACAGTAGCCCCTCCCACTAGGCTTAACCATTATTTACACCATATAATGAATAGATTTTACTACCTTCAGAAAAGGATTTATATCTATTACACTTCGATATATTTTCAACAATAATTATATCCAACATTTTCCTTCCCCTGGAACAGTTACTTACATCACAAATTATTACTAAAACCAAAAACCATAATTTTGCAGTTCACATGACCATGAAAGCGCGCGAGAACATGCTATTTAAAAGACGGAAATGTTACACTCCCGTTTTGCCAAACTGAATGGAAAACAGAGCAGCGATGCATCTCGGCACATAGTAAGTGTTTGATGTTTATTTAAATGTATGCTTAAAGAAGAGTAGAACTACCAAGTGTGCAGCCTTGATCGCGCTACTTAAACAGTAGAAGAAATATGCATAATAGCGAGGTTTATGACCGGCTTAATTGAGGCTGTAAGGGAGCGGGAGTGAGTGTGTATGTGCGTGTGTGTGCGTGTGTGTGCGCGCGTCCCGCACTCAGTGACGGACTGAGACAATTTTGTCAACCAAATTGGGATTATCATTGGGACTGCTGCTTACCTAAGAAAAAGGTGTGAACTTGGGTCAAATGTGGAACTAACCATCACACATGAAAGCGATAACTAAACTGGTGTTGCACTCTCAGGAACAACAGAGGCCAAAAAAGTGTTTTTGCAACATTTATTTAAAGGATCCTCAGTAGTGAACATTTGCAGTGTAGTTTGTGGATATTTTTGGAATAAAGTCTTGACAAGAGCATAAAAAAACACAGAAGCAGACCACAGAACAAGCAGTCTTTTCGTCCCTACCTTAGTACAGCACAGTCCAGATAATAGTCCCCAGCTCAGGCACAGCACACGCTCAACTTCAGCCCTGGCACAATAACCCTAACAGCTACTCTGGGGGTTTAAATTACCTGCGTTAGAAGGGGAATGCTGTCATGTGACAGGCAGCTTCCGGTTTAAATTAACTAATAAAAACTGTGAATAATGACAGAGTAGAGTAATAAATATAGGCAGTGAAACCAATAAAAGTCCCTTGTGCTGTACAAAAAAAATAAAGTGCTAAATTAGTTGTGGTGGCAACACCGGCACTGGGTTTAAAAACAGCTGCCAGCAGCCAAATCAGTGGGTGTCACTTCCACACAGCTGGCCACCATCATGAGGTGATAGAGACCACAAAATCAAACCCAAGTTACTGCATTTACCCACATGCCTATAACACTAGTGACCCACTGAAAAGTGGAGCGCCACAGCCACAAACCAGGCTGCCATACACCAACAGTAACACACTATGACCCAACAACACAAAATGGGACCCATGTGGGCATCAACCACATTCACAAGTTACCGTGATGATGTAGGAAACCAACAACACAATCGAACCTGACGAACTGGGAGGATACACCCACCACTTTAAATCCAAAGATCTGTGGAGTTAGTGCACCCCAAACTCAAATTAATGTTCTGTAATTAAACAGCAATAAAACACAAGTGACCACACCTGCGGCCTGTGCTACGAAGGGAGTTCAAGCTCAGAGTTAACTCGGGGTTATCAGGCAAACTCAGGGTTGACTACACTGGAGTTAAACGGTACTACGACGGTGAATAAGATGTTGGTTAGTTGAGTCGGTGTTAACTCGATTGGAGTTGGTGTGCGTTCGCATTAAAAGGGGCGTGTTCAGCCATGCAGACAGAGGTTTTTTGCAACGCTAAATGCTCCATATTGGTAGTGTGACCTTATCACATTTAAGTTTGGCGAACTAACGTTTCTTTTCTTCAACTGGCAGCTAAGGTTATAGACTGACCTTCGCTGTTTGTGAGTTTCCAGAATCTAAATAGTTATCAGGACATCAACAGGAGGGAATTCACATGGCAGAGCATCCCTGCAAAAATGTGTATTCATCCAGTGAGCAATGGACACTGAAGTGTGTATATGTGACGCCTGAGATGAGATCGGGTTGGGCATCTTTATTATTATTAGGACAGTACATACACCGGAAAATACAAACTCTATCTAAAGCAACTGAAAGCTGATCCAGAAGAAACAGACGTGGCATCAGATTAGGGTTTAGAAGAAAGAACGTCTAATTTCTGTAAAAAACATGTTTCCTTGTTTCCTCTATCCTCTCGTCTTCAGTGGGACGGACTGTGAGACAAGGAAGTGTGTATTCAAGTGCTGCTGTACTGATAACTGTATATTTTCACAAGTACACTGACACTTTGTACTGAAGCTGAATGATGCTGTTCAGTGTTTGCGGTTGCGGTTTTTATTATTCTTAGCCATTTACACTGAAGATGTGTGTATCAGAGGTGTTTCGGTTAGCCACAGCGAAAACAGACCCAAATCACATTTTCCATCCAACAGTTTTGTGAAACCCACAGAACCACAGGAGACAAACAAGAACAAGACCAGTTCATTGAGCGTTGCTGAAGCAACAAGAGTCCAAAAACTATTAATAAATATAAATAAAAGTGTATTTATTACATTAACAACAAAACAACATGATGTAATCATCAGTCTCTGTTCAGTAGAAGTATATGAATGAAAGTACAAAAAATCATTCACTAAATCTGAGCTGTTTGTCTAATTTAGCTTTAACAGTGAAGTATAATAAATGGATTACAGGCCAGCTGGACATCAGCGGTTGGACTGGTGTGAAGGTGTGAAGGTCTACCTCAGTGAAGAGTAGACGACCTCTGGCTCTGCTGGAAACTCTGAACACACAAACACAAACAGTTCATAAGATATTATAGATACATACGTTACAGATTAATAACTCACCACTCTGAAACTCTTGCTCCAGTCTATGTTGCCAAGCTGGTCGGCAACATGTAGCCGACAGCTGAACCAAAGCCATGTTTACTGGCTTCTCACTGACCCGCCCTACCCTGCTTCTGACTAGACTTGGCTAGTAGTTCTTAACTAGGAAGTGCGCATGTGCAACTCCCAATAAATATCATTTAGAGACAAGATGTATCACTCCGTAGCTAAAACGAAGTGTTCAACACAGGGTGAAAAGAGGAGCTGCAGCAATTTGCAGTATGAAAAAAAGAGGTGTCTTTTTAAAAATTAAACATGTAAACCTGTTCTGGTACAACCCCTAAATAGGATTTTGAACCTGAAAGTGAGCATAATACCACCTCTTTAAAGTTCTTCTCAGTTTTCATATTTTTTAAACAGCAGATATTGTTTATAAATATTACATCCTTTACTCTTCAGAGTAAAGGAGTCACATGTAGCATGCTACCAACATGAGCATGCTGAAACACTAGAACACTGGTTCTGTTCAGAAAGCAGACTACATCATTTTAAAGGGATACTGAGCGATTATATTCCAATAAACTTTTTGTTAAATTCAGTGAATATTTCCTGGCATCCCATTGTTTGTGTGCTCTCCAAAAGTCTAGAAATACAACACAAAGAAAGTGTCTCGGAGCGAGCAGCCAATCAGCAACAGGAGGCGCTCACACCCGTGCACGGAGCAGTGGGAGAGAGGAAGTTGTAAACACTGGTACATTCGAACATACTGGACCAGGGTCAGACTAGGACAAAAATTCAGTATTCGATGATAAAATGTATGAGTGGGGGTCTAGGGTCCCTCTCCCAGAAGATCTTGAGCATTAAACTCTTAATTTCCTGCATTCTCAAGACATTTTCTGCACCAATTTATGGAGTAAAAGTGTTAGCTTTGCTGCAGCAGTAGCGAGCTTTTGTATTTATATTACCTTCTATGTGTTTGTCTGCTCTTACTTCTTTTAAAATTACCTTTCTACATATCATTCCTAATTTCCACCAGATAAATAAACTAAACACAAGATCACAGATGTTGATTACTTTAGAGACTCCAGTCTCCACAGAGTTTTGTTGGACTGCTTTCAGTTCTTTTGCGCCATAATTATGGAACAACACTGGTGTCACCCATTTTAGAAATGTTATGGAGAATCATTATGATGGTGTTTGCATTTGTTTCCCTTGAATTGTACTTCTTGGCGTTCCTGGTCTGACTGGTGTAGGACTTATCTTGAGTCTTATAGTGGTTATTTTTGCTTAGCATAAAGAGAGGAGGCGGGGGAAACAGTTAGTTAGTCTGGCTCTATCCAAAGTTCACAAATAAAGAGCAGCTGTACCTCTCGTCCTTTGTGGTGATGACTATTTGTCCATAACTGACGTCTCCTGCTCCTCTCACTGCTGAGTAGACTGGTTCACTCTCTGGAAAATAAAACAAATACTAATTACATTACTGCAGGTACTACAAATAATACCAGTACTATTAGTGTATTTGGCTGTTTGCACTACTAGTAGTACTGCAACACACAATGATACTACTGCTATAGAAAGAATTTCCCTTTTCAGGTAGAATTATTATGTGTTTATTATAGACTTTATAAATGCCACTGTTGTGAAAAGAGAAAGACCAAATATAACTGCAGGGTATTTATCTTCTGTTAAAACAATTTCAGTACAAGGAACAAAATGGAAAGACACATCACCATCAGCTAAGCAGACCACACTATAGTGTGAAACCACAAGCTTCAGACCAAAGTTCACTGGAATAAACAGGCGGAAGTTGCTGCTGTGGTTTAGATCAGCAGAGTAGAAACAACCAAGTGCAGTATTAGTAGTTTGGTCTGTTGAGTCCGTCTTCGGTTTTATTTATAATTACTTAACCATAATTATTTACATTAAAACAAACAGATAAATGGATATCTGGCATCAATGATGATGGGGCAGTGGATGAGACACATGCTTTTGGTGTGAGAGACCTGGGTTCAATTCCCCAATAAACCAATATGTCTCTGAGCAAGACACTTAACCCCTAGTTGCTCCAGAGGTGTGCGACCTCTGACATACTTAGCAATTGTAAGTCACTTTGGATAAAAGCGTCAGCTAAATGTAATGTTTGAGGAAAAGACAACAGTCAAGATGTCTGTCTGATAGTGCTGTAGCTAAATTTAAGGATGCGATTTCATTATCAGATCACAAAGTAATGGAGGACTTCTATGCTAATTTCAGTCCCTCCCAAATCGATCATCTTGTTGATAGTGCTGCAGGCTCGCTGCGAATGACACTCGACTCTGTAGCCCCTCTAAAAAAGAAAATAATAAAACAAAGACGGTTAGCTCCATGGAAAAATACTGAAACTCGCAAATTAAAGCAAATATCGCGGAAACTTGAGAGGAATTGGCGTTCCACCAAAGTGGAAAATTCTCGTTTAATTTGGCAAGATAGTCTTAAAACTTATAGGAAGGCCCTCCGTAATGCCAGAGCAGCGTACTACTCGTTATTAATAGAGGAAAATAGGAACAACCCCAGGTTTCTCCCATAGCTCTCAGTAGTTACGACTTCATGAGCTTCTTTAATGATAAAATTCTAGCTATTAGAGACAAAATTCACCAAGACCTGCCCTCAACTGGCACCGACTTATCTCTAAACTCAGGAACCTTAGAAACAGCTGTAAAACCAGATATATGTTTAGACTGTTTTGCTTTCCTCAATCTTTACCTACTAACTTCAATAATTTCTTCATCTAAACCATCAACCTGCCTCTTAGACCCCATCCCGACTAGGCTGCTTATAGAAGTTCTACCCTTAGTCAGCACTTCTATACTAGATATGATCAATCTATCTTTATCAACAGGCTATGTACCACATTACTTTAAAGTAGCTGTAATTAAACCTCTTCTGAAAAAGCCCAAACTTGATCCAGATGTTTTTGCCAACTATAGACCTATATCTAACCTTCCATTTCTCTCTAAGGTTCTGGAGAAAGCAGTTGCTAAACAGCTATGTGACTTTCTACAGAGCGGGATTTAGAGCTCATCATAGCACAGAGACAGCACTGGTGAAAATGACAAATGACCTCCTTATTATTGCATCAGACAAAGGACTTGTCTCTGTACTGGTTTTGTTAGATCTTGGTGCTGCATTTGATACCATTGACCATCAGATCCTATTGCAGAGACTGGAACATTTCATTGGCATTAAAGGAACCGCTCTAAGCTGGTTTAAGTCTTATTTATTAGATCAATTTCAGTTTGTACATGTTAATGATGAGTCCTCCATTCACGCCAAAGTTAGTCATAGAGTTCCTCAAGGATCTGTCCTCGGACTAATCCTCTTCACTTTATATATGCTTCCTTTAGGCAATATTATCAGGAAACATTTCATAAACATAAATTGTTATGCAGGTGATACTCAGTTATATCTATCAATCAAGCCAGATGAAACTAATCAGTTAGCTAAACTTCAAATGTGCCTTCAGGATGTTAAAACCTGGATGACCTTTAATTTTCTAATGTTAAACTCAGATAAAACTGAAGTTATTGTTCTGGGGCCCAAGCACCTCTGTGACGCATTATCTAAAGATATAGTTTCACTTGATGGCATCGCCCTGGCCTCCAGCACCACTGTGAGGAATCTTGGAGTTATCTTTGATCTACAAAGCTCTTAATGGTCAGGCACCATCTTATCTTAAAGATCTCATAGTACCTTACTACCCCACCAGAGCACTGCGCTCCCAGAATGCAGGGTTACTTGTGGTTCCTAGAGTCTCCAAAAGTAGACTAGGAGCCAGAGCGTTCAGCTATCAAGCTCCTCTCCTGTGGAACCATGTTCCAGTTTGGGTTCAGGAGGCAGACACCATCTCCACATTTAAGACTAGGCTTCCTCTTTGATAAAGCTTATAGTTAGGGCTGGCTCAGGTGAGTCCTGAACCATCCCTTAGTTATGCTGCTATAGGCCTAGACTGCCGTGAGATTTCCCATGATGCACTGAGCTCCTCTCTCCTCTACTTTCATTCCCTCTGTATGCAACCTCATCCCATTAATGCATGTTACTAACTCAACTTCTCCCCTTTCTGGTAGTCTTGTGCTTTCTCGTCCCTCTCTCTCTCTCCTATCACTTCCTGCAGGTTTTCTGGCTCTGGAGCTGTGGAGTCTGGATCTGTGGTTGCGAGTCACCTGCTGCCCCCGTGTTCCTGCTCGACACCCTCTGCTACAATTATTGTTACTAGTCCTATTGTTATTATTGTTATTATAATCATTAACATTACGATTATTATCATTAACACTACTATAAATATCTGTACCATTTTTCATTTAGTCTATAGCAACATCACCTTTACTGTCTGTACCTCTGTGTGTATACTGTGTAGGCTGCCTCCCTCCCCTCTCTCTCTCTTTCTCTCTTTCTCTCTGTTCCTCTCTCTCTCTCTCTCCCCCTCTCTCTCTCTCTCTCACCCCAACCGGTCGAGGCAGATGGCCGCCCACCCTGAGTCATGGTTCTGCTCGAGGTTTCTGCCTCTTAAAAGGAAGTTTTTCCTTGCCTCTGTCACCTAGTGCTGCTCTTGGTGGGAACTGTTGGACTTCTGTAAATAGCATCACAGACCTGCTGTTTTATGAAAAGCGCTGTGAGATAACTGTTGTTGTAATTTGGCGCTATATAAATGAAATTTAATTGAAATTGAATATCCACATAATTAATGTGCTTTCCTATTAAAATGCCCTCACTTTCTGTAGCCATCTTCACTGACCCAAATCTAATTCTGACTGCAACACAATAAATAACCATCTTTTAAAGAAAAGGGGCCAAACATTATGTCCTCAAATTTACCCACTATTACATTTTTTTTTTCAGTTTACGAAAACAATACTTTATACAAATGCTTTAACATATTCAAAGATACTCAAATTTGCTCTGCAATATGCTCTCAAAACCCATATTGCAATGTAAACATATCAGGATGTCACACAAAATACAAAATGATTGCCTTTATAAAAGTAAAATCCAAAGTGAATCAATATGTCGATGTAAATGAGGTAGAGTTCCAGATTGTGTTTGGATGGGTGCCATTACATAAAAGAAAGACCGGCCTTTCCAAAAGAGCTCAAAATTGTCAATAAAATCTACGTCGCCGGTTCTACAGGTTAAATGCAGGCAGGTGTGGAGGCCGAGGATTGGCCCAGAGATAAAGAGCCGAACACCATGGACTGTGAAGGACTCGAGGAGCTTGCTCAAGTCCTGTTTCATGACACGATCCTGCACAAAGGAGTGTTAGTACAGAATTTTTACAGACTATCACACACCTTCAATTAATGCGTTTCAGCAAAACACATAAAAGTACAACGTTTCCCATATTTTTTGATATACAGTACGCATGGTTTCGAATTACGCGGGGGGTTAGGGGGATTTGACCCCCCTAATTAAGTATTGGACCCCCCCAAAAGAGGCAAAAACAACAGTTCAGGGAGGTCTTTCTTACCAGTATTTGTAAATATTAAATATATTTCCCAAATTCATGGCTTTTATTCAAGAATCTTAAAATACGCCTAAAATGGACCGTACCATTTCCTAACCTTGACATCTGACCGACACAGAAAACCATTTGGGACAGCATGTTAGGATGACTGACAAGCAGGTGCAAAATAAAACTGAGTGAAAACACTAAATCTCACCACAATTCCACACACATATTAACTTCAGCACCTCTGATAAAGCTCACAGTTCCACAGGGGAAGGTTGCGCTACATGAGAGCTTGTGTGATTTACGCCTATTCAAGTTTTAATGCTCTGTATTTGTCCAGCATTTTTTTAATATTTGTTTTAGTCTTTGCGACCACTCAAAGCGCTTTTACACTACAACGCATTCACCCACATTTATACACTGAGCCTAACAGAAACTAACATTCACACATTCATACACCGATGGAACAGTCATCGGGGGAAATTTGGGGTTCAGTATCTTGCCCAAAGACACTTCGTCATGCAGCCTGGAGGAGCCGGGGATTGAATTGCTGATCTTCTGATCAATGGGCAACATTGCTCTACCTCCTGAGCCACAGCCATACACACTCAAACTAAAATATCTGAAAAGGCTGCAATTCACCTTTGAATTTGTGCAAACGGTCCTGATGGAGCTTGATGGAAAAAAAGATGACCCAAAAGTCAATAGAATGAGCACCCAGCTATACAGCACAGACTTTGGATCAATTTATAAGAGCTTGTGCTTACATGGCTGCATTTGTACTGCAGTATTTACAAATGTGATTGCCCAAGTTTAAAAATTACCAGCCTCACAGGCCGAGTGTTCTAAACAACTGGAGAGAATAATTGCAGTGTTTGCACATATTTGTACGGCAGATAGGTTAGATTTTCAGACCAGAGGCCCAGGAGCTTTCTATCTTGAGAACTGAAGAGATCTACGAAAGCCATCTAAAAATCCTTGAAGAAAATCATTTGGATAACTGCTGAAGTTAAGAGGAGGAAATGTGTTCTGTCAAAAAACCCTTTCAATGTTCCTAACTTGTGATTCCATCAAGTCAGAGATACTCAAATTCACAAACTTTGTGGGCTTGTAATTTTAGTTTGAGTTATGACATCTAAATTAACCTTGTTCTATTAAATGTAGAGCTTCCACACCGTGGGAAACTCTACATTTCCACTTTTATGGGGAGAGGCATGTGGGCCTGCCACAGACCGCCCACCACAATGAGAGCAGGCCTGCCCATCATTTACTCATGTCAAGGCATGCTGTGCTCTCTCTCTTTTTCCTACATAAACACATACATGGCCTGCATGCGGCGTATTTTTTTATGTTTTGATGTAGAGTACAACAAACATACTCAGGAGAGGATATTTTCATTATGAAACAGGCTTTTTTTTACTTAAGCAACATTACAAATTTAAAAAATCTGTTGTTATTTTAGGAAGTAATTCAAATTTAAATTTCGTTATCTTTGCTTATATTAAGAATGAACATCATTATGCTTGACTCACACAAGGCGGCATGTGCGCCGCTTTATGGCTGCGCCATGGTTTTGACCCGTCCTCAGCCCTGCGTCAACTCACACTGGAAACGTTTCAGAAGCATCCTTTTGTGTGCTTCTGCTACCGATCACAGCGCTCTGTGAGCCGTTTTCCTCCAGTTCCCTGCAGGGCTGAATTTCCCACCTGGGGCATTTCAGAATAAGACTTCCTGCATGGCTCAACTGCTCTGTGCTGCTTGACGTGTCTTCCGTCAAAAAAGGCCGGCTGCAGAGAGCCGCTTCTAGGACGCGTTGCGGCGCTTCTAGTGTGAGCACAAGCATTGACAACAATGGCAGCGATTAGGTACAGCAGCCGCAACGCGGCGCACATGCCACCTGTGTGAGTCCGGGGTTAGTGCTGGACTGCATAGGCCCCCCTAGCAGCTGGGCCCCAGAATGCTTTCCCCTTTTCCCCCCCTGCCTAAGAGAGGCAGGTTTTGCCCCAGCCCATCAGGGAGGCGTCTTTGAAGACTGAGATATGCAACATGGTCCTGCCCAGGGGGACCCGGTCCCACCAGTAGGCTAGTTCCAAACCCCCCTGCGGTGAGAGGGTCTGCAACAGGCAGTATGGACGCAAAGCAACTTATTTGAGAAACAACATACAAGTGTAATACTTACCTGAAAAAAAGAATCAATAAAACATGATTACCTTTGCTGTGTCTGATTGGCTGCTGTAGGTGATGTGATATTTTGACATGACTGTATGTGATGTCATCCTCCCCAACTTCTTCTTCAGCAGCTGAATGAACCAAAAGGAGCAGAAATTTAAAAGCTTACTAAATGGACCCTGTGAGATTGTTTTAATATCAGCAGCAATGTAATTTATGAGAATCCTGATGGACGTCTGACTTTAAGAAACAGCTTGTAATTATTTGTACGTCCAGAAATGTAAATATCAGCAGTAAAATGTGAACTGCAGCACATGGCCGTAAATAAATTGTGGAAAACAATTTGTGTGTTTTGTGTCTGTGTCTAACCTTTAGGTTTCCTATGGATGCATCGTCTCACCAGTAGAACAAGTAGAATCAGTGGAACCAGTAGAACCAGCACACAGAAATATTGAACGGAGAGAGGAGGAGAGGGGGAACCGGGAGGTGAGGTGGGTGAGGAAGTGGAGGAGGAACCAGGAGGAGGGGTGGCTTTCACTAAAATGTACAAAAAAATGTAATTAATGGCACATAAAATAAATCTGCACAGTAGTGCTCAGCCAGCTAGTAACCAGCCTGATCCCCGGTCTATTAGCAGCCAGCATGTTTCTCAGCCTGATAGCTGCACGCTAGCCAACATCCTCCGGTTAGCGCTGCCGCGACTAGACACCTTCCTGATCCCCGGCTCCCCCAGGTTATAGTCAATTGTCTGACTGACACCTGCTACTGTTCTTCATCGGTGGTCCGACCGACACCTATTCCTTGTTAAAGTCACACAAATCCTTACGCTTACTTATTTTTCCTCCTTCTAACACATCAGCTATGAGGACACAATGTTCACTTGCTGCCTAATATAACCTACACACTGACAGGTGCCATTGTAACAAAACGATCAGTGTTATTCACTTCTCCTGTCAGTGGTCATAATGATATGGCAGTGATATTGGTGTATATTGACTTCTGTTTTGTTCATTGCCATTGTTAGTTGAGTGTCCCTGCTTGATTCTGTGAAGTTTTGAATGTCCTTGCTGGATATTACCTGATGGACTTTTTACCTGTGTTTGCGTAACGGTTCTCCCCGAGGTTGTACTACTCCTGACTTGAACCGGCAACCTTGGGTAAGGGAGGAGGCTGGCTAACGAGGAGGCTAAATCCCAAGGGCGCTAGTCTTGGTCGCCTCAGTGTTGTAGGGTGAGGTTTATTCACTGCACAGCCATCTATCTTCTGTTACATTTGGACTTGCCTGCAACTCAGTTAATGTAAGCCTTATTTTCTGTTTTGGTATTTTTGGATTAAACATTGCAAACTGAACAAGCAATTCTCAGTTTCTTGCATTTGGGCCCAAACCCTGTTTCACATTGTGCAAATCCTGACTGGTTTAGGCAAAGTTCAAATATCAAACGGTGGGTTAAATGCTAATAAATTCTAAACTCTTGTTTCTTTGCAATCAATGTAGAAGTTTGAGAATTATCTTTGAGCTCTTCACCTGTGACAGAGATCCAGCTGGATGGAGACTCTCCACGACCGCTGATGTTACACTTGTAGAGGCCTTCATCAGACTTGTTAACATGGTGGATGGTCATGTGACCTGTAGGCTCAGTCCTGATGAGGGAGCCATCTTTATAGAAACCAGCTGTGAGGTTGGAGGGAGGGGTCTGTGTTTTACAGTGCAGAGTGACATCATGTCCCTCCATCACAGGGAGGACAGGACTCTGCAGGATCACTGGTCCACCTCAACACAGAGACAAACTACAGCATTTCATCATTTACACACAGCTTCATCAACACTAACTCCACAGTCTGATCTTACCAGTGACAGTGATGTTGATGGTGTTACTGGTTGCTCCCTCTCTGGACTCACACCAGTAAACTCCGCTGTCCAATGGCAGGATGAAGCTGATGTAACAGGAAGAACCAGCTGATTTTCCCCAGTCAGCTCCACACTCAGACAGCCCTTCTTCACTCGTGTTCCTCCTCAGTGTCCATCCAGCAGAGCTGTCGTCCTCCTCACAACTCAGAGAGAAACTGTCCTTCAAGCAGCTGAGAGCTGCTGGGACTCACAGTCAGAGAGGCTGGAGGAAGAGATATAGAGATGTGGTTAGAGATGATCAATTCCATTTTTGAAAATAATTATTTTCTCCACATTCTGGCAGTTTTTTAACTAAAACAGCAATTTATTATTAACTTTGTTAACTGTGTTATGTCTAGGCTAGTGCAGGACTAAGAGAATGAGGAGTTAGATAAAAGACAAATATTTACTGCAAGGTTGAAGGGATGGCGAGATTGAGCTGGCGAACACATACTGTACATTTATCTAATGCTTTGATCCAAAGCGACCAACAATTATAATACATGTCAGAGGACACGCAACTCTGGAGCAATGAGGGGTTAAGCGTGTTGCTCAGGCACACAATGGTGGATGTGTCACATTGGGGAATTGAACCCGAGAATCTCACACAAAAGGCAAGCATCTTATCCACTGCTCTGAGCCGAGTTGGTGGCTGCTCTGCAGAGCAGGTTGGAACCGTACCTACCTGAGAGTCAAGACTGAGAGGCTGAACTGAGCTGGTCCAGAACAGAATTTAGGAACATATCAGACCAACGGACGTCCAAGGAGAGCAGACGGGATCAGCGCTATTTCCGGTAGCGGGATTAAAACACGTTGTTATGCAAAGTTCACTTTTAACTTTTAACTCATAGCCTACTACAAGTTCTTCTTCAGTTGGCCTAATACAGCCTAATGATTTAAATGTCTAAAATTAATAAACCCCATAACTGGCACACTGCTCTTGTCATTATTCAGTTTGCTCCCACACAGCTGAGGGCTTAATATTGAACCCTAACCCTTTCCCTTTGATGCAAACTGGAGCATTACGGTCACTGCTTTGAGCAGAGGTCAGGTGCGAAAAATACCTCTACATTCGAATCTCAAAATTAAAAATCTAATGTGTACCCGAACGATCGAATATTCGAATGTTCGTGTCTGTTGAACTTTGCACTTGTGTTGTTGGTTCTGCTTGGTTCTACTGCTAACACCTTGCCATTATTTGGAGTTTCTTTTCACAACTGCTTGTATCATTTGGATTTTTGCCTTTTGTTACCATGGATTACCTACCTTTCCTGACTTCCTCAGTTGCATTGTCTAGATTATGTTTTTCTGTAAGTTTGATCACATAGTTTTTACCGTTTATTAAATGATTAAGCTCAGCTTGCTGGTCAAATTATCTGCATTTGGGCCCAAAACCTGTTCATATCTGGCAAACCCTGAACCATTCCTCATATTCCTACATTGTCTCTTTCTATGCTTCGTACTGCTGAACTGATCCCCGTGTTTCAGGCGCTGAGTTAAACTTTGAGTCAAACTTAAGTTGCTGGGGATAAATATTAAGCTGGGAATCATTTTGTTTGTTACACTTCATTTTTTGCATTCTGGGGGAATTTTCTGCACCAATTTCTGCCTTTACAGCAGTATTATTTAATGGTGGAAATGTTTTTATTTGTGTAAAGCATGTTAGATCCCGAGTTACCCCTGTCCACGAGGTACTGGTCGAGCTCTCTGTGTTAAACGGTCCGATCCTCCAGGCCTATGGGTATTACCCTATTGACTGTTTATTCTGATGTCAAAGAGATTAGGCTAGCTTCTAATCGTCTTCATCCAAACCTACCTTGCTTTCTCTGAAATAGCCCAATACCCAAATTCCACCTTAGCCACGCCTGTTAGTGACAGCTCTCTTCTTACTGATCAGTGCACTTGGTTTGGTTGCTAGGATAATATTTAGTGGAAAATAGGCCCCAAGGATGAGTTAATTTCTTTGGCTAGAGCAACCTATAAGAAACTTTAGAAGAACACACTATGAATTACTGCCCTGATAAAGAAATAATTTCACTGTCTATTACTTGTACTTGAAATACAGTGATTATATTTTTATGAAAAACTTATACTGAGTAAAATTGATAAAAAATGTCTAAAATTCAAAACATGTCTAACATTCAAAACCTGATTAAAAGAGCTGAGCTTGAGTAATTTGGATGTTATTTGGAAAAAAGCTGTCCTTTCTTCACTGTAGATCTGCAGATTCTTAAATTCATTAATTTTAATTCAGTTATAAACTCCTAAACTTTAATAGACCCTGTGTGTCAGCATGTATTTGTCTTTTTTAAAATGTTTACCTGCCCTATACTCTGATATACATGACATTATTGCCCTGCTGACATGGTAGAATCCCCTTCAGACTGTCTGACAGACACGGACACATGGAATGAGAAGGAGCAGAACTAAAATCTTGTATACTATATATACAAAATATTAGGTGTTTCCGCTTCCCTGGTAGCTGCAGTGCAGCTCTTGTTTCTGAATTACATTTTTATACCAGCGGTTTTAGCTTTGGCTCCAGTCTGCAACACTGTGGCCATCAAAACTGCATCCAGTGTTTTATTGTATTTGTAAAGTGGCTGTTTCCCTCCCCAAACACTGTCCTAAACACTGACTGTTCTGTCAGGGAGAGAATAACTTTTCAGCTGTGACAGAAGAAGTTTTCTCACCTTGGTTTGTTGTGCAGCTCAGCAGTGAGGTCAGAACTAAAGAGAAATCACACTCAGGTTGGTTTGAGGTTTTACATGCGACAAGACATCTGGACTTTACACCAGACAGAACAACCTGCTTGTAGTGAACAGAAAAACAGCCACACATTGATATTAGATCTGGAAATAACATCCATCTGTTGTCAACGTCTTATCCTGCTTACCCAAACTTGACCAGTGCATGAAAAAACATTTTTCACTCACCGTAAGTAAAATTCTAAGGGAAGATTTTCGAAAATTAGTTAAATGTAATACCAATCTGGTTGTTTGATACAGTAGATCCCTTGATTCTTTTAAATAGACTTCACAATCTGATTGGCTTCTCTGGTACTGTTTTTAACTGGTTCAAATTGTATCCTATTGATAGAGAATTTTTTGTTAAGTATGGATGAATGCTTGTCTAAAAGTTAAAAAAAATATTTGTGGGGTTCAATTTGAGGTCCCTTGACTTTTTAACCTCTACATACTGCCACTTGGAAATGTTATCAGGAGGCACGGCACAAATTTCCATAGCTATGCTGACGACACACTTTACATTGACATGTCTCCTGATGACTCTGAAGCTAAAGCTCAGAGACAAACTTAATGTGAAACTACGATGCAAACTATACTGGCATTAAATCCTTGTCAACAAGTGAAAAACCCAGGAAGAAGTAACAAAAACTAGAAGTTGTCTTTGATTCAGATCTGAGTTTTGAGCCGCACATTAAAAACATAACTCTACAATTCTCTCTGAAGCCAACACAAAGACACTAATGTGCTATTACCTGCATAACTGTAATGTTCTGGTTTCTTGTCTTCTTAAAAAGAATACAGCTCAATTACTTGACCAGGACAAGAAAGAGAGCACACATTGCATCGATTGCAATGGCTACCTGTCTACCTGGTTTACAAAAACTCTTACTGTTCTTGGTAGAACCTTAGATTTGCTCCTAACTAATAAACCCTCTCGAGTCCTCAGGCCTTCTAGTAGAGGGCCAAAACTGTGACATCTTACATCAGTTTTTGTGAGGACATGTGTGTGCCGACCAAAACCTTCCGCACATACAACAACCAA